TGGCCAGAAGGAAGAATCCCTGCTGGTGGTCAGTGCAGGTCTTTAAGTAGATGCTGTCAGAATTCAAGGCAAATGGAGCTGGGAGAAAATGGCACCGGCTGAGGAAGGCCGGATGCCTGCAGATCTGCGCCGTTAAGCAAGAGAGAATGGCCTGATAGTGGCCAGAAAAACTCCTGCAGCTGCTTGGAATAATCCAGAGATGAGGGGAGCCTGTCTGGAGACCAAAGGCAAGGTCTGATGTTAAGGTCTGTCCGCAGCAATCCGCTATTGAGGCAGGCTGTGCGGCAATGACAGGAGCTCAGCGAAAAAGCGCACCAATGACAGGAGGCTCAGTGAAAAAGCGCACCAATTTTGAAACCAAAAGGGTGACCGCACGCGCCTGGAGCAGCACCAGGGAAATCCTGAGGAGCCTAATGCTCCGCGCTGGAGACCCTAGCTACCTATCTGTCCCCTGGACTTGTCAGCAGCCGCTAACGAGCCTCCCCCCATGGTGAGACTATGATCGCGACGAGTGCAAAAAGGCAGCCTTGCTCCAGGAAGCCTGCCTCGTGCTCTGGACAGCAGAAGATAAACTGAGTAAGGAACTTAGGCAAAATAAAAAAGAGAACAGAAATCTGAGCTAACTAACAACACTGAAAAGAAAACCTGAGGAGCAACACTATACTAATTAGGGGGTCCAGCCTGCTGCAAAAGGACTGGATCCCAAAAAGCGTCCTGTAGGGCGACTGAGTTTTTTAAAACTGAGCCTCTGAGGGGAGCAAGAGGCAGAGCTACAGAAATGTTAAACTCAGTCCTTGGGCAGCAAGCTGAAGTTAACCCGTGCTTGGACACTCCAAGCAGTGCTTAGGAGAATGATAGAGATTCAGATCTCAGGATAAGCAAAACTGAATTTACAGACCAGTGATACGATAAACAGTTTAACTGTTACAGTTAAACACAATTTTAACTCAGCTCAGAAATCTTTAGCATCTTTTTCAGACTAACACATTTTATAAAAAAGCATATGACTTTCTGAGCTAAACTTATTTCATCAACTGTACAACTAAACTGACTAAATTGTAGACAAATTGATTAAAGGCACACGATATGATTTTAATATGCTAATCCATTGTGTTCACTGAGACCTTCTGAAATAGTTCAAAACTTTTCATTGTACATATGTTCAGTAATTATTTGCCTGATTGTACTGGTAAAATTTCTTTTTTCCAAAACGTTTATTTGCAATAGAATACCAGAGAGGCTGAAATGCTCTTATATATCTTGTCCTTGTTTCGAGTGGTTGATGGAAAAAGTGTTGACAAATGTTTGTCCATTAATCATTTTGCACAAAAGTTATCCTATCTGTTCCATGTAAAATCCCAAGAAGCATTAATGGCAAATTATGGCATATATCACATTACAGAAAGGGCATATGAAGATGTTCTAATCTTGAGTGTACACCTGTTGTATTTCTAGTTGTAAATGCTACAATTTTTGTTTAATAATTTTATTGAAGTTTTTAAAAATTATAATACAAAGCTAGAAGAAAAGGGAAACTAAAATTCAAAATATGCATAAAGAAAGTAGAAAAGAAGAAAGTAACAAAAACAGTATTTAAAAAGTTACTTCTCCATCATATGGAGAAGAACCTAATATATTAACTGTTTATTGTCTCTTAAAGTAACAAGTAGAAAAACATCTTCTCCAATTACCTAGCTTTTATCACTATGAAATTCATAAATCATTATATTTTCAATCCTAGTTCAGCAAAAATTCCATTAGGATTTACCAGAAATATCAAACAAATAGTTTATCCCTGATTAATAGTCCAAGTTTATATTACCATATGTCTTTTTGCTCTGATCTCTAAATAATTTCTATGGCATCGCAGGATTTAATCTTCAATCGCTAATTGGTTTGTTTTTTTTAAATCCCATAAAGTAAATCCCATAAAGAAATATTAACTAAGATTTCTTGTTTCCATTGATTGTATATACTTCCTTTTTTCCCCATAAAGAAGTATCATCTAGAACAGAGTTCCCCAATCTTTCCGGCTTTATGGACCGTTATGGGGGAGAGGGGATGTTTCCGTGTGAGTGGTAGTCATGCGCACATGCAGCACCATTTATACAAGCAGCAGGCATGTGTGTCTGCCCCTTGTGCAAATGGAGTGTGCGCGCACATGCTCACCTGCTTCTCCCACAAGTGAAGATGTGCTTATATGCGTGCTCACCTATCACTCCCGTGACCTGGTTCCAAATGGCTCACAGTCTACTAGTCGACCACGGTCTGGGGATCCCTGATTTAGAGTGAAAAGGTTGCCTGGCAGAGATTTGGTTCTTATGTGACCAAGTCTTTTCGGCAGACAGTTCCTTGAAAGTTAAAGGCCTGTCTGCCAGAAGGATCTCCCCCCCCCCAAAAAAATGGGACTAAGTATCTCTGAAAGGCAGATCTTTCATTCTGTCTACTTTATTTTATTTTAATTTTATTTAGTTTGTCAAACCTGTACAAGATAATCAAGTATAAGTATAAAGATGCACATGAACAAAGAAAATGAGTACAAATAAATAGGGACAGTAGGACAGGGATGGTAGGCACGCTGGTGCACTTATGCACGCCCCCTTTACAGACCTCTTATGACCCAGGAACTCACTCACAACTGCAACCAGGCATACCAGGATTGTGGTTTTGAGATATACTTACATATATAACATCTCATTAAATTACTGCTTCACTCAGTAACTGAAGATTCCTGTCTCAATTGTTATCATAAATCAAGGATTATCCGAATTTGATTATATATTTGTTTTTCAATTCTTAAAGCAAAACTAACCACTTTATAAGCCAGAAGATGACTCAGTAGAGTTCAATATGAAAATAAATATATAAGATCTCAGTCATTAATATTACAATCACAAATGCAACGTTGCCCAATATGCTTAGTGAGACCATTGCAAAGGTGGGTTAAAAGGAGAACCAAATAAAACACCCTTGACACCATTAACAATATTAAGGAACAAGAAACTCAGATGAAAAGGCACACTAGAAAATGAATATGTTTGGAAAGGTTCTGGGAAATAGAAGATGGGGAAGTGGAAGGACAGAATCAACAAGATTATTGGAATATCCTTGGATAACCCAAGAGGTTTTGCTGGGGACAGTGCAAACATTTGTTAAACCATTATTTACGCAGCCAAGTGAGCTGAACCAAATTAAACGGCTCCTAACTGGCTTGATTTAATATATGACTGATGTGTTATGATGTCATATAATAATGTTATAGATATCATAGACCTGTGGTGGTGAACCTAGGGTATGCATGCTGGAAGTGGCACACACAGCCATCTCTCCATCGCCTGTTTGTTCTTCCGGTTTCCGGTGCTCCCCCCTCCCGGCACATGCGCTCCCATTTCAGCATTCGGTGCCGAAAAGGTTCGCCAACATTGTCATAGACCTTCGTCAGTATTAGTGGGAGTGGTCTTGGTGGTTTTTTGGTTGGCTGTTTACTGTTTGTTGGGCAATACCTTGATTGTGGTATTGTTTGCTGCTTGATTGGGTTTTGTGTTCTGGTCCTTTTTCCCCTCTGGTCTTTCCCCCCACTTTTTGGCTTGTTGATTATCTTTTTTTAATAATGTATAGGGTGTTTATGTCTATGTTGGCTGACTTGACAGGGTACCTTTTAGGAATTCTCTAGCGTTTTTGGATTTGACTTGGTTTAGGATAGTCACAGCTTCCCAATAGAAAGTATGGTTAAGTCTGGCCATGTGTTATAAAATTAAGGAGCTTTCATTATGTCTTCTGGTTACTAGTTGGTGTTCATGGATGTGCTCTGTTAGTGTTCTGCCTGTTTGTACTATGTAGTGGCTGTTGCAATCCTTACATTGTATGTTGTGGATGACTCCTATTTTTTCTTCTATTTTATTTAAGCTTTAGGCTTTTGTTGATTTGTATACTCCGCTGATGTCATGTGGTTGTAATAGTCTGTTGGTGATTTCTAAAATGTTTTTGATGTATGGCTGTATTATCCTTTTCCAGGTTTGTGTTGGTTATGCTGTATTGGGTTGAACCAAAAGACCAGTCTAAGGATTTGAGCTTCATTTCTCTACCCTGCTGAAGAAGTTCAGTTCCCTTTGAAGGCAGGTCTTTTCACCAGATTCCAGAGATGAGAGAGTGTCCTCTCTGCAGGCAGTAAGAGCTTGCAACCTTCCTTGCCAGCTTTGCAAATGGCAATCACATGATTGCTGGGCAATTGGCAACCAGTCATTAATATAAACAGGTTACCAAGCAGATCACAATCACACAATGACTGGGGGGGGGGGGGCAGACACAGTGCAACATTATATTGTCGTCAGAAGTGCCCTTACACTCAGGTTGTAAAGTACCCTTAACAAGATCATTGTAATTTTGGTGGTTCAACAAGTTGTCATAAGTCAGCAATAGCTGTGTTCTATATATAAATCTATTACTATAGCTCTCTATATATATCTATTACTATAGCTCAGTGATGACTAACGTTTTTGTCCTCACGTGCTGAAAGCGTGCGTGCGACAATGGCATGCACATGCCCACATTCATAATGCAATGTGTGCGCAACCCCACTGTGCTCCCCCTGCACATGTGCCCCCCCAGCACATGCCCCCCGTGGCCTGTTTTGGGCCTAGCAGGCTTCCCTGAAGCCGCACCCTCACGCTCCCACCTGCCCCTGCGAGCATGACCCCCTTCCTCCCATGCATGCACATGTATCTCCATGTGAACACCCCCTGCACATGCATGGCAGAGCCCCAAAAATCAACTGGCAGTCTGGAGGCATGCACATGCGCAGTGGAACTGAGCTAGGGTGATGGCTCACATGTCCACAGAGAAGGCTCCACGTGCCACCTGTGGCACATGTACCATAGGTTCACCATCACGGCTATAGATTCTCCATTATTATAAATTTGTGATGTACAGCCTTAGTTAAAAAAAGATTAAGGAAAAGATCAAACTTATTTTTATATAGAAAAAATGTAAAATATACTTACCAGTTCCTACATAGGTTCTGAAACGTCCTAATAGTCTTTCACCAAAGGCACCTAGAAGATCTAATCCAAGTAATGATACCTATGGACACATATTTAAAGAATTAAAAAGATATTGTGGTAATCACCCAACCATTTAAGGCAAATATATAGATTTGAGAATGAGAATCTGTTGTATTGAATTTCATTCAGGTACAGTACAGGTAGTCCTCATCTTACAACCACAACTGAGGCCAAAATTGCTAAGCAAGAAAGTGGTTAAGTGAGTTTTGCCCCATTTTATGACCCTTCTTGCCACATTTGATAAGTGAATCACTGCAGTTGTTAAGTTAGTAATACGGTTGTCAAGTGAATTTGACTTCTCCATTGACTTCGTTTGTCAGAAGTCAAATGGTGTTTGTCAAATGGTGATCACATGACCCCAAGACACTGCAATAATCATAAATATGAATCCATTGCCAAGATCCAATTTTAATCATGTGACTGTAGGAATGCTGCAATGATCATCAGTCATTTTTTCAGTGCCATTATAACATTAAACAGTCATTAAACAAATTGTTGTAAATCAAGGACCACTAGTACTATATGCTTAAAAAACAAATGTTATCATTTTAAATTGGAAAGAAAGCACCACATTGAATCTAATTTGATACAGAGAAATTAATTAAATTATAACTACCTGCTAGAACTTATTTGAATCAAAATCAATTCAGTAGAGATTCATTAACCACTTTTAAAAACTTTTTATTTTCAATTGTAACAGGTTTTGACATTGTTCAGGTCAGAGGTGGATTGCTCCCGTTTTGGCCTGAATCAGGCAAACTGGTAGTGGTGGTGGTGGGAGGCTCCACCCATGTGTTGCATGCTCGCACAAGCACACATACAAGCACGAGCAAACTGGTAGCCCCAGGATTTCCAACCCACTTCTGCTTCAGGTTTAAAAAATACTTTCATCAATTAATGTATTTTGTATTTTACATTAGAACATTATGCTCAATTTGGATTTGGCAAATATTGTACATTCACTCCCTTCATTAGATTATTGTTCTTAATCTATCATATGGAATCTTAAATGTTAACAAGGTCAGAAAATATATATGCATGTATTTTTTTGGTAAAGTGGCAGCCTAGAATTCTAAACTGATAAATAAAATTCAAAAGTATAAGGCAAGCAGTATTATTAATATTTTTCTCAAAAATAGAATTTTTACTTTAGTTTAACATTTTATTGTTATAATCAATATTTATTACTGTAATCAGTTTGGCATATAAAACACAGTATTTTTCCTGGGAATAAGACTCATTAGAATATTGATTTGCTTTGAAGGAAGAGAGGGAATTTATATAGATTGCAGCTAGGCAGCACAATAATTTTTCTTTACATTGAAGTCTCATACAGGTAGTCCTCAACTTATGACCAGTTAGTTAAGGACCATTCAAAATTATGATGGACTTCAAAAAAGCAAGTTACAACTTGTCCTTGAAATTATGGATGCTATAACTCTCCACAGAAATTGGTATTCTGCATTCATATGAGGCATGTGATTGTAAAATTGAATCCAGCCACATGGTGCCTCGACTATGACTGCAATGACTTCTAATTGAAATACCAGGTTCCATTATGTTGTAAATTGATGACCATCTATATGCCTCTACATATACAAGCTCTAGGATTCCAGGAGGTCCAATGATTGAACAAAAAAATGTATTGGGGGGGGGCACAAATTGCTAATTTTCTTTCTATTTTCTATCAATTGTGTTACTTTGATTCACTCAGTGTCCAAGGATTTGTAAACATAGGGAGCTATAAACACAGGGAATTTGGGGGTAGGGGAGATGATCCTAGTACACATCCATTTATACATCCAGATTGAAACTCTAGGTATATTAAGATTGCAAGTCTGATAGACTTAAAGGGAAAGTTAAAGTTATAATTAATACTCCATAATAGAAACATTGGTTTTAGTTGTATTTCTAATAGTTGTAAAATATTAAGAATGCTTATTCCCAATTTTGTACATTATTCATCAGTTTAACTGAAAAAATAACATATCATATAAAAATTCTACATCTCTTGGTTTTATATTTTACTTTATATATCCCTTTGATTTACTATATGGTTGCAAATAATCCAAGTACCCACTATCCCTGTTTTCTAATTCCCTCTCCTCTCCTCTGAATTCTTTCCAGGCTCTAAACTTGTGTGTGTGTGTGTGTGTACACACATACATACACTATCCCTAGGAAATATTACATGTATTTTAGAAAATATTACATACACATACAGTGTACAAGGAGCCAACAGCAAATATACGTATATATTAAAAGTGTACAAGTTTAGAGCCCAGAAGGAATTCAAAGGAAAGGAGAGGAAATTAGAAAATGAGTATCCTTCTATAGAAAAATTAAATATGACTAATCTAGAAGAAAAACATAAAGTGAATCTAATATCAGAAAAAAAATTAACTGTCAACAAGATCAAGGAATATCAGGATTTTCTAAAAGTCTTTAAATTCAGTAGTTAAAAAAATGGAAAATTTTGAAACTGCAGTTTTAACAGACAGTAAACAGAAAAAGCCAGTTTTGTTGTGATAAAAAATCAAAACTGGATGATGGAAAATTAAAATAACAAACATTAGAAGTAAACAACAGGAATGGTACTTTGGAAATTAAAATGACTATAAAAAGATGGATAAGATGGTGGCATTATCTCCAATCAGTGACTGGACCCATTTAACCAATGATAGAATATTGAATATCGAGGGACATGATTTGGTATATGGTTGGCATGCTTATTTGTTATTCAACAAAAAATTAGATAAGAATTTTAAAAATCATATTTTAAGAAATGCTTTATTGCGGGTCTGGAAAAAATATCAACACAGACTAAACGATAAGCTGCCCATGTGGGCAATTCCTAGACATGCAATTCAAAATATGAATATAGAACAAAAACACGATATTCAATATTCTA